ACCTTTGACAAAGTTCACTACTCTGGCCCTTAGATTATGTTGCCGCTCATTATTTTCGTACTGTTGTTGCATAATTTCCCCGACTCGACTGCGAACTATTTCAAGAGAGTTATTTTTGAATCAAGTTCAAAGAACGATCTTCTAATGAATTAAACTTCCGTAGAAGCGTGTAAGTGGTTCCCGAGGTAATCAAACGCTGACCAAATGCCGCATCTCAAAGCGCAGCATATATGTGACAAATACTTGTCCCAATCCTTCTGATCTCCCTTGACATGAATTAAACTTCCGTAGAAGCGTGTAAGTGGTTCCCGAGGTAATCAAACGCTGCTCAAATGCCGTATCTCAAAGCGCAGCATATATGTGACAAATACTTGTCCCAATCCTTCTGATCTCCCTTGACATACAAGCGAAAAGTCGCAACCACCGAATGATTTACTCTTTCTTCAGCATTCTCTTGCGGAGCATGAACTGCCGTAAAAGATTATTGCCTTCGGAACACCAAATACGTGGAACAACTCTGTTTCCAGATATTTTACAACCACGTCCGCAGTAATCTTCATCACAGGTTGCAAAAACATAAATTTGGACAGATGATCAAGGACTATAAATATGCCAATGTTTCCATTTCGAGATCTAGGGTAAGTTCCCAGAAAATTTATATAAAGCTTCTGGAAGAATCCTTCTGATTCTGACGGTTTGGCTAGTGGGGGTCGCAGTAGATAATTGGGTGCTTTAGAAGTCTTGCATGTCTCACACAAGTTCACATATTTTTTAACGTCCGGAACTAGACCTGGCAAGAAATAGAACTGCCGAATCCGCTCAATCGTTTTGAGAATTCCCCCATGAGCTGCTAAAGGGTCATCATGCTCTTTTCTAAGGATCTCAGCCACTAACTCTTTTGGAATCCAAAGCTTCCAGTTGTTTTTATCGTGGACCGGTTCGCCCACTGCGTGCTCGGCTCTTCTATAGACCCTACCATCCTGGACTTTTACATCCGGAAGTCGATCCTTGCAGTCTTCAACTCGTGCTATCAAGTCCAAGTATTCAGGAGACTCCACAACAACTAGCCTTTTGTCCAAGCAGTTCAGCTCGTCTACGTCTTCCTCGTGTACCCTAGAAAGGACATCCGGGACTACATTCAACTTTTCACGCCTGTGTTCAATCTTGAAAGAGTAGCTCTGCAACTTTAACGCCCATCTTGCCAACCTCGAGCTTCGATCTGTCTGAGACATTAACCATTTTAACGAAGCGTGGTCCGTAGTTATGGTAAAATCGTGTCCTTCGACATAGGTCCGAACATTTTTTAAACAAACAATAGCTGCTAAACACTCCTGTTCCGTTACTGAGTAGTTTTGTTGGGCCTTGTTTAATTTCTTGGAAACAAAAGCGATGGGGCATTCATCTCCTTCTTCAGAAGGAGGTTCAGATAGCTGAACCAACCCCATCCAACTCCTGTTTTGCTGGCATTGCAGTGTATGAAAAATGGTTTTGAAAAATCAGCACTTTTAAGAATAGGGGCTTCGGTTAACCTTGTCTTCAAGTCCTCAAACGCTTTTAATGCTTGTTCCGTAAATGCAAATGTTCGCTTTGGAGTAAGCAGATCCGTCAGCGGAGCTCTCAATGCCGCAAAGTTGCCTATAAATGTCGGTACCATCTTCGTAGTCCTAAGAAGCTCCTCAAAGACCTGAGAGTCTTGAGCATGGGAAACTCAGTAACGGCGGCTATCTTCTCTGGATCCATTCGGATTCCGACATCTCCCACTATATGCCCCAGATATTTCTTCCTTTTGGAACAAAACTTGCTTTTTCCTATGTTAATCGTAAGTCCAGCTCACTTTATGTGATACGCTACCTCACGTAAAACCTCGAGATGCCTTTCAAATCTACCTCCAAGGAACCTGCCAATAAGCTTTCAAGTCGAGGGTGGTTATAAATTCGGCCTTCGACAATCGACCTAGTATCCCGCTAATTTGTGGAAGTGGATAGACATCCTCTTCAGTAAGTGCATTTACCTTTCTGCTATCCAGACAGAGGCTTCTGCACTATGACTAACGGTGAAGACCACGAACTGTCCGATTCTTCTATCACTCCCAACTCAATAATTCGGTCTATTTCCGCATAATATAACTTTTCCATCGCGGGAGACACAGGATCATGCCGCTGTTTTACATGTTTAGCCGGACCTACATCTATTGAAGGGGAAATTAAATTGGTCTTTCCCAGCCCTTCGTGAGCGAACGACGGAAACAAACTTACCACGTTTGATAGCTGCTTTTTCTCTACCTCCTCACATCTAACTCGGACACATTTGGTAAATTCGGCAGCAAGTCAAACTTGCGCTTAAAATCGATCCCTAAATATAAATCTTGTTTCAGCGTGGGGACAATGTATATATCTATATCTTCAGTCCTTCGCTCGTAGACCACTGGAAGACAAACTTTTCCCACAATTTCTTGCCTATTGCCGTCAGCGGTGCTTACTATGGAATGTATTTTCTTGAATGGAATGCCCTCTTAGCGTATCCATTGTATCGCTCGACATCTTCTAAAAATGTTTCCCTTTTGCGACATACTTCACCCTGGTGTGATACACAGGATAAGTCGACATTTAAGATATCGTGGCGAATTTCTGGCCTCAAATCTCATTAAATCCGCACCAACTTGCTATTTGACAAGGGCTTTTCCATTTTATCGAGAAAAACATTGATGGCATTGAAGAAACTATCAAAAGGTTCATTATTTTCCTGCTTCCTTTGCCTTAGTAACTCTTCAATGTCTTCGTCATCCCGATCATCCTTATACTGCTTACGCAAAGCTGAACACAAAGATTCCCAATAGATTTGCCTAACTGTTTTGTGGTGTCTCCAAAAGAAGTCCTTCACCTTCCCTTCAAAAAGCGAAGAGACATTCTTGCACGTTAGCTTAAAGTTTCCGTCTAGGGTTTCATTTGTCATGGCTTCAACCTTATATATAAAATTATCTTCCGACAAACCCGTACCCGAAAATTTTAATTTCCAACCGCTCATAATCGGACCAACCATATTCGGCCACCTTGAGAGTTCCGAAGATAGACTTCCTGAATTTCTCTCAAAGGAAAAATTATTGGAGTGATTTCCCTGCCAAGTCTCAGCAGCGGGTTGTCTCATTCTATTGTCTGGACTAGAATTGTGTCTCAATTAATTGATTAAGTTTTTCAGTCAGTGCTGACTTGCTGCTGACTTTGAATTGTTGCCTGGTTTGCACTGGCTTGGGAGGCGTTTGAGCATCTACTATCGACAACCCGTTTCCGACATCTGACCTGGAGTCTTCGGAAGCACTTTGGTGACGCATACAAAGTGGCAAATGGGACATCTGGGATTAGCCGCAAAATATGTTCTAATGCAATTTTTGTGAAAAGTGTGTTTGCAAAGGGTTTTCTAGGATTCCTCTTCTGATCTTATTGGACCATTACACAAAGGGCAGGGCTTTTCCGGGACCTGGAGGTGGGTTATCATATATAATAATATTAATATTGAATATAATAATATTAAATAATAATGGTATGGTGGATATATAAGAGTTTAAAATAAATATTAGTGAAGAAAATTTTTAAATATATATGTGTTTTTTTACGTCAAAAGGGCGTTTAATTTCAGGAGACAGTGTCGAGCGGCAGTTTTATCTAGGTGTCTACATCTCGCGCGCTCGCACTGCCTTCCGCTCTCCATCTCTATCTCTCCCTTAAGACTCCGCTCTACTCTGGAGCGCTTAAGTTAAGTTAGGCTTAAGCAGTTCTTATTTCAAAATGTACAAATAAAGATCTATTCACGTCACTTAAAAACACCAAAGTACCCCGTTTTTTCTGCGTACCATTTGTTCTGGGGACTTCATCTATTTTCAGCGATCAAAATTAAACAAAATTTTGGTTTTTGTTTTTTTTTAATTTGTCCACCGCACAGTGGTTAAAAATACATTTTAAAATAAGTAATTATTATAAATTATAATTTTAATCCTATTTGGTGTTACATTATAGAAAAAAACCGGTAACATATTTGGGATCCATTGTTACATTTGAAGAACACTGAAAAAAAATTCGATTAATTTTTTTTAATAACTCAACAATTTTAACTTACTCTTTTTATTTTTCCTTGTTTTTTAGTTCTCAATATCGTCTGGTACCTCTTCCTCTAATTCTATTTCAAAAGTGTCACTTACATCATCGATACAATTTTCTTCATCTGTGTCTTCTGTGCCTGGGGATATGATTGGCGAATCCAAAAGATCTACAACCTCTGCTGGCAGAGGCATCCGGTTGGTTTTTGTTGAGCAAAAACTAGATAATAGGGGATCAGACGAATCCATAGCTCTGTGAAAAACATCTGACATATTGTCAACCCGGCTGCATTTTCTGGCATGATCTTTTCTGTCAGCCTTAAAAAGTTTGTGTCTTGCTTCTGATGCTTTTTCTGCTAAAGAGCCAACAGGAACAATCGATTTTTCAATGATTATGTATCCATGTACTAAAACTTTGTGCACTGTTGGCGACATGGGGTACTTAAAGTAATTAGCCATATACATAGAAAAAGTTTACATTTATGTATGGCTGCTTAGTAAATTTATTTTCCATAAAAAAAGCGAATGCCTTTTCAGAAGTTATTGGACTCGGAGCCAGCGATTCAGTTCTATCACTTTTTTTAATAATTTCATTTTCTGTTGATTTTCTGGCGGAAATGTTAGCAGCGTGTAGTAACAAAGGAGTTGAATTTTCATTTTCTACCGCAAGTTCAGATGCCAACTTTATTTTGAGTCGTTTACAAGCAGCTTCATATGACAATTTTGGACGACCACCTTTCTTCTGTGGGGATTCATTTCTATCAGAAAGTATAGTCATATTACCGGCTAGCCACATAGCGTGTTTTTGTCTAAATCGCTTTATGTTTCGGCAGCATCGAGGCAAATGTTTATTTATGTAATTTATAAAATTAGTAATTTTAGTTGATATTGTTTTTATTATTGATTCATTTTGATGATCGGCATTCAATTTGTCGAATATGTAAGTCTCCAATGCTTCTCGCGAGCGTTTGTTGCTTTCCCAAACTGCAAGAAGAGCCCCGTGACCAAACACATATGTCTCTACATAAACGGAAGTTTAGCGAAAAGGAGCAAAAATGAGCAAAAACGGTTAGTTGTATGACAATAAGGACACTTTTGTAATCAATTTCTCGTTCTTACTCTTTTGCAAGTCTGTGCTATTAATAAGTTATACTCCACAAAACACAAACACAATTGTTAGTTCAAATCTATAAAGATACACATATAAAACAGTTCACAGGTGGACAACAAGACACATAAAATCAAATGTTTAAGCTAATTTGCATTAATAAATACCTTTGCAAGGAATTTCCATTTTCATATTTATTAAACTTTTTTTTGCACAGAAAACAACAAGCACGTAAAGTTTGCCAATTTTTCGCGCCAATTTAACGACATAGCAAAGCCTCTCGAACAGCTGACTTTGTTGGAGTGGCAACACTACAGAGTTGCCACCAAAAATTTTTGGAGGTCGGTTTTTATACCCGATACTCGTAGAGTAAAAGGGTATACTAGATTCGTCGGAAAGTATGTAACAGGCAGAAGGAAGCGTTTCCGACCCCATAAAGTATATATATTCTTGATCAGGATCACTAGCCGAGTCGATCTAGCCATGTCCGTCTGTCCGTCTGACCGTCTGTCCGTCTGTCCGTCTGTCCGTCTGTCTGTCCGTCCGGATGAACGCTGAGATCTCGGAAACTATGAGAGCTAGGCTATTCAGATTTGGCGTACAGATTCCTGAGCTTCTTACGCAGCGCAAGTTTGTTCCAGTAGACTGCCACGCCCACTCTAACGCCCACAAACCGCCCAAAACTGTAAGTCCTACAGTTTTGATGCTAGATAGATGAAATGTATTGTTCTCATCAATACCTATCGATTGACCTAAAAAAAAGTTTGCCACGCCCACTTAAACGCCCACAAACCGCGAAAACCTGTGACGCCCACAATTTGCATGCTAGATAAAAAATTTTAACTGAAATGTATGGGTGTCGTTAATACCTATCGATTGATCCAAAAATAATTTTGCCACGCCTCCTCTAACGCCCATAACGCTTAAATCTGTCTACCGCCGGTAGGTGGCGCATTTTAATTTCGCTTTGCTGCTTGCATATCTCCATTTCCCTTTGAGTAACGGGTATATGATAGTCGAGGTACTCGACTATAGCGTTCTTCCTTGTTTTGAAATGAAGATGTCTAGATTCGATTAGTATGGGCCATTCATAAAAATTAATTAAGAAAATAAATAGGTTTATGCACCAAAATCGGGTTTTTTACCCATAGTGCACAGTAAAAAATTCCCAATCATAAAATTTTTCCTTAAGACTTGCACTCTTTATTTTTTGCTGTGTTCCAGCTTGTGTATATATACATAAATATTCTAATACAGTCCACTCCAACTACCTTTCTCGACATACAAAAACGGCTAAATTATTTCTAAAATTAAAAACAAAGTTGAAATATCCACAAATGCACTCCAGCAATTCGTTTGCAATTTAGTTGTGCAGGTGACAAGCACACACGCCGACAAACAAACTTAAGCGACGACTTTACAATTCCCGCAACGTTATTCCGCTATTCACACCACACATATGTACATATGTACAGTGTACATACTGTGTGGAGTTGAATAACTCCCGACAAATAGAAGCAGCAGCAGATGGCCGGCCGCTTACCATATACGCGGCGAGTTCGCGTAGTAACGGCGGGGCAAGAAGAGCGTTGGAGACTTATGTGGAGAGCGAGAGAGTTTGGAGACCAAGGATGGAGAGCGAGAGAGTTTGGAGACCAAGGATGGAGATCGAGAGAGAATAGAGACTTTGCGGGCAAAGCAAGAGTGCCGTGTGCAAAAGCGGATAACGGAACTGCACCGGACTTTGGACACTCCCGTGAACTTTGGACCGGGAGAAGAAGTGCCACATCTCGGCCGTGGAGCGGCATCACCCATCACGGAAATAAGCGGGACGGCAGCAGTGGGCGGAGCATGGATTGGAAACTGTACGTGGTGGACAAGTGGGTCAACCAGGAGGCACGGACTTTGGACCCGGAGTGGAGAGATCCAGCGGGCCATACGCAAAAGGGAAATAACGGTTCCCGGAGGCCCTATATAAGGCCGCGGAGCGCTGGCAGCTGGATCAGTCGATCACGAGGAGTCAAACCTTCAAGATCATTTAAAGTACCAAGTGAACAGTCAGTCAAGCAAGTAGTCTACAAGGGAGCCGCAACCAAGCGAGCCGTCGGAAGCAGCGCCGTGGGAAGCACACAAGGAGCAATATCGCCACGTCGAGACGTTCGGGATTGGGACATCAGTAATCTCCGAATTGAGACACAAGTGGCTGAGTTCCGGAAGGCATCACGCGGCTAAGTCAAGGCATTTGTTTTCCAACTTTGTCACGACCACACCCTGGCGAGTCGCCCGGCGGGTCTGTCAGAGACAAGCAAAAGAGTCCTACGACGAAGAACCGTCAGCTTGGGGAGGAAAGTTGCCTGCGACCCAGCGTACCTTGCGCGACCAAGCAGGACCTGGCGTGACGGACGAGCGGTAGATCGATTTGCGATTTCAAGAGGCGGCCGCCTGAAGAGCCCTGCGATTACCGGCGACCAACTCCCCGAGTGCCAGAACGACAAGCTATTGGTCAGGAGACAGCGCAGAGGACATCGACAGCGACGCTAGCCGCCACGTTACCATCGCCGCACGGAGCTCATTGGGGAGCGCAGGAGCGTCGCGGACGTCACGCATTAGGGTGAAGCCAGGTGGAACGTTTGTCTGCGCTAGGCGTAAAGCAAAGTGAACTGCTAGACAGCTTCCTGGCGGCAGTCTTGACTGTCAGCGCGATCTGAGCAAGAACCGTCCGGGACAGTGCAAGGGACAGGTATTGCCTCGAAAGGCGTCGGCCTGGAGAGCAAGGCTTGTTCACCCTAGTCTGAGAACGGTGACGCTTCCCTAAGCCCACAAGGCCGAACTCTCTGCGAGTCTAAGGCGCAACAAGCGACCGATGGCAAACAAGCAGAGGCGGCCACTACGAGCGTCCCGAAACCCAGGAGCCAGTGGAAGCCGAGTCAACGCGTCGAGGAGCCAGAAAGAGGAGCGCCAGCAGCCGGCGGAACCCGAGCCAGGAGATACCGAAGCCAGCCCAGCCACACACCCGCTGAGAACACCCACGAGAATAAATCCCACTGTTACCATTTGAACCCTGTGTTTTCTCACTGATCTACGGGGCAATCACGTCATTTAAACTTGGTGGGACGAACACACAATCTTCTGAGCTAGCCGCACGAATCTTGTAGCGAGCAGACACAAAAAAATCAGTTCGTTACATCTGGCGCCCAACGTGATTGTCCCAACAGTAAGAACAGCACAATAAAAATGGGAAAGAAGTGGATGTACCGCCTCAAGAAGGAGGACCTCGCCCATGTCGCACAGAGGCTTAATGTCGCCCTGGAGGGCAGGCTAGAATACATGAGAAAGGCACTATCGGAATACTACTCAGAAACAGAGAACGATCCACAACTCGTCGACATCTGGGCCGAGGTGGAGGCGACATACCACGACAGAGCCGGCCCAAGCATTACGTTAACGAACGCTGAAGGGGACAACCTGGTGGCAAGCCTGAGCATTGACAACATGCAAAAAGAGGCCCACAGGAGAGAATCAAGCCAAGATAAGAAAACAGCAGCGCTGACTATGCAAAGGTCGCTAAACAGGTCCGCAAATGGTCGTTCAGGTTCCTGGAGCAGGTAGAATGGACCGCCAACACGTACGGCTTGGATCTTGATATGATCCCTCGAGCGATGCCGGAGTTGCTAGAAGGAAAGGCTTTGAAATGGTTCATCGCCAACAACAAGCAATGGAGAACCTGGGCAGAGTTCGTAGAAAGCTTCCACACATATTTTCTGCCAAAAGATTTCTTCACCAGGCTGGCGGACCAGGTCCGGCAACGGAAGCAAGGCTTCAGCGAGTCGCTCAAGGACTTAACTTTTCTACGAAAGAGACGTTAAGGGTCATTAAAGAGAACTGCACCCCAAGCCTACGGATTTTATTAAGAGCATACAAAGTGTCAGACCTGGACACGCAAGAAGAACTTGAAAAGGAACGGGAAGTTTTCGCACAGGAGAACAAGTTCTCAAAGACCAAGTCGGCGTCACCAACGCAGGTGACATGCAGAAGATGCGAGGAGACAGATAACCAGGACAATATATACCTTGTGGAGGCCGCCAAGCAACACACAGAGGCCACAAGATGCCACCCATATCACAGACCCGCAGGAGGCCTGTCGAAAATGCGGTGGGAACGGACACTGGTCTAGAGGATGTCGAAACCAGCGGCTGTTATTTTGCTGGATATGTGGCAAGGTGGGTGTCAGGAGCGTCGATTGCTGCCAACGATCGGGAAATGGCCAGCGATTTCAGCCGCAGAGAGGCGAGCGGGGATCGCACAATGCCACCTCTCCAGACTAACGGGCAAGCTAATCGAGGAGGAGCAGCAGTTGTCCGCAGCTGTGATGATTGGTGGGATCAGCTACAAAGCCACAATCGACACCGGAGCAACGGCAAGCTTCGTTAGCGAAGAATTGGCGGACAATATTGCTGCTCTAGGAAGGATTACAAAGGAAAGTTAGGTTGGCAGATGGAAGGTGCGGCGAAATTGATGCACAGCTCGAGGTTAAGGTCAAATTCGGCAACAAACAAGTGACCATGTGCCTGTTGATTTTACCCGGAGTAGTGGATCCATTAGTGTTGGGATGGAACTTCCCGAAAAATGTCGGAGCCGAGATAAGTTGTGCTGGACACGAGATAATAATACCAGCCAGAAACCGACACAATGGATGGCTCGAGGAGAAGCTATCAGTAGCAGTCGTTCAACAAGTAAACGAGGTGGACGATACTATAGCGTTCCTTTAAGCAGAGCTGGCAGACTTCAGCACAATGACGGGAACGTCGAATATGGCAGAACACCAGATCAAAATGAAGGATGACAAGCCAATCAAGCAGAGATACTACCCCAAGAACCCGAAAATTCGAGGGGAAATCAACGCAAAGGTGGACGAGGCTCTCCAAATGGGGTTCATAGAGCATTCAAAGAGCCCATACAGCTCCCCTATCGTTATGGTGAAAAAGAAGACAGGCAAGTGGAGACTGTGTGTCGACTTCAGGCAGACCAACGCGAAGTCAGTGAAGGATGCCTACCCAATGCCCCGCATAAACTACATCCTAGATCAACTAAGGGAAGCGCGGTACATCAGCAGTTTGGACCTGAAGGATGGATACTGGCAAATCCCACTAGAAGAGAGTAGCAGGCAATATACGGCGTTCACGGTACCAGGC